AACCAGCAACACGTACAACAATGAGGCTGCTGTGAGAAGATTACAAGGCGAGAAAATCCACAGGAAAATGTAAATTCAAAAAAACACCAGTTAAGTGGTGAGAACCTTCCTTTTCATTAGTTTTCTAACTCCATTCCTTCACATTCCTCTTTGTTATTGAGTGGAATGATCAATCTTTTTTTTTTTTTTTTTCTTAAACGAGGTGTAAATGCATTTTCACACCTCTACCTAAAACTAGGTTAAGTCTCCAAGCTAATTACACATTATTAATGAGTTCAGCAACTGTGGGTAGGCTGGTCAGAGAAGGGATGCAGGTCTGCACGTTGCATACAAATGCACGTGGATGCAAACTTGTACTCCAAGCCAGTCTGATGCTGCCAAGTGCTGAATTCTCTTCTCTGCTTAACACTGAAAAGCCGAGTTTACAACGCAGCCATTTTCTTCTATTCCTCTCCCTTCTTTCACAAGGTGTTTGTGGTTTGTTTGGTTTGGGGGGTTTTTTGTTTGGTTTTTGTTTGTTTGTTTTTAATACTGAAATGCACTAAAATATTACATTCAAGTCACCATTTTCAGGACTCTCCCTAGGTGTGCTTCATTACAAAGATCAGCAGCAGCTCAATAACACTTCTTTCTCTATTAAACAAGCTGGCTGGCCTCACTGACACAGACTGGGAGGTGACTGTAGAAAGTTTGAGCTACCCAGAACAAACAATACAACATCAGATTACTCACCAGTGCAGATCATCATGTCCTGGCAAAGTCTGCTCAGGTGGTTTAAAGTTTTCATCTGCCACTGATGGCATCATTGCCAGAGATTATCCCCCCACAGCAGAGCTGGCAGAGGGATGTGTAACATCTCAGTTGCAAACCAGAGAGGAAGAGCTTACTCATGACTAAGGTGGTGCTCTCTGCTGCCTGCCCTGCCTGCTGTCCAGGGACAGCTTAGCTCTTTGCCAAATAGGTCTCAAAGAGCAAGTTGTAACTTGATGAATTAAAGATAATGCAAATCAGTGCCAGTTCACTTTCATGTGCTGGGCTGGAAGTGCAGCAGTTTAGCTGCCATTTTCAAACCAAGGGTGAAATCTGAACTGCGACAGCCCCTACAACAAGGGTGTTTGGTGAGCGAGAGCTCTTCACTCCAGCTCCTCCAGTCTGAACTTCGCAGGGTGAAGTGTGGGCACATGAGAATCACCTCCTAGCATCAACTCTGAAACGAGATGCCAAAACCAATGCAGAAATCCCTAAACAACCTAAGAGCCAAGGTGTAAGCAACTGCAGCCAGAATGATACAGTCCTTAAAAATACATGTTTTGTGTTTTTAATTCATTCTCTTCTCTTTAGCAATACAGAGCTTCTAATGGTGTCTGTTATGCACTCCCTAATACAAGATACTATACATATATGTACATATCATTTATAGGTCTAAATATAAAAAAAACTTTCAGAGAAGTGAATGTTTGTATAGAAGTAGCACACACAATTAAAAAAAAACCCCACAAAACCCTTCATCCCAGCTCTGGATTAGATCTGTATCAGAACACACGTACACAAAGCCAATTCAGCCTGACTTTTCAGTGAGTAGCATAAATGAAGAATGGTGTGCTATGGATTTTGCACAGATTCTGATAATTTCTGGTTAAAAGCCTTCTTGTTGAAAGTATTATTCAAGCCTTAAATATGCCACATTGTGGGATGAGTGTTCCCTAAAAAAATTCTTAACAGACCTGTTAATTGAACTTCATTAGTTTCTTCAGAATAGAACTATGTGGAGCCACTTTGATTCTTAAGTTTCTAGCTGGCAGGAAAAACAAGCCCTAATTGTGTCAGAGTTAAACTGCTGAAGAGATCAGTGTTTTATGAGGGATGTAAAAACGGTTCACAGTTACTAAAATAGAAATCTTCGTTTGCTTTACAAGGAGGGGGGCAAAGAACATTTATAACTTAGAGTTTAGAAGTGGGCAATTAAGAAATACACCAATAAATTAATCTTCCTAGGATATTTTCTGGCGTGTGGAAAGACAGTAATAAACACATCTGGGAATTTTCCAGCTGAAAGCTCTTGATTTGTAAGTCAGACCTTACTGAGTATATACGGTTTTAATCCTGAAATTACATCACTCTTGATTTGTAAGTCAGACCTTACTGAGTATGGTTTTAATCCTGAAATTACATCATATTTTCTTCCATGTGAACCCCAAAGATGCTATTTTCCTTCTAGATTGATTTTTTAAGATAGCCCAAACACATATTCAATAGGAATATGGGCTGTCTTTTATCAGCTCATGTTTGCCCCTGAAATGCCCCCGTAAGGAGAATGACACAATCATGCCTAGTTCTCAGTCCTTACGGTACCACGCTGTAACAGACTCTGGCATGGTGAACAGCAGAATAAATCTGCTTTCGAAGCATGATCAGGTCAATAAGCATAAAAAAAAAAAGGTTTATTGCCTTCTGAGGAGGTCTTTTTAGCTATCTCAAAGGCAACGCTGACCACCGCTCAGTTGCAAGGGTTTTATACTCACCAGCATCAAGACTACCAGTAGCCGCAGTCCAGCCCATGACGGGGGGAATGGCACCGACGACAGCTCCCACCCACGTGTTGGCAATGCTCATTCTCTTCATGGGTGTGTAACAACACGTGTACAAGAAGATGTTGAAGGCTCCCAGGGCCCCAGTGAGAGGGTTCACTCCCAGTGTCAGCAGGGCGATTCCCGGGACTCCGCAGGAGGCAGCAAAGCAGACGGCGAGCAGGGGGCTGCGGGGAGAGAGCAGGAGACACGCACTGAGCAAGGGAGTCTGTCTGAAAGAACGGCTGCTGCCCCTCTCCTTTTGCCTCCTCCCAAAAATTAAGATTGGATTTTTGTTATTTTTTTTACTTGCCCAGCCCATATTCTCCCATTTGAACCCCCATCCTAGAGGCAAGCCTTTCTAAAAAGTGAAGACAATCTCGCTGCAGAATTGCAATGATATGTAATTCTTATTTTTGAGATCATAAAATAAATTCAACCTACACAGGGAAATAGCCCTTACGTAGAACTGGTGCTTCCAGCAGATCTTTCTCTTTCATTTTAATCTTAGTAAGTTTTGACCTCTGCAAAAAGCACGCAGTGTTTAGAGAGAATTAGAATGCTTGCAGCTTGTCAGATTTTTAATTGCTTGCAATTATCCAAAGGATCCTTTGACTGAAATGCAACAGGGTTAGACAAAAAATTAGGAAGCACTTATGAGGAGTAAAAAGAGTACATTCAATCATTTTGAAACTATGTCAACAAGAATAAAGTATTTTTTGGCTTTACTGAAAAAAGGCTGAATTTTCTACATTCCCATTTAGCTTAGGCACTGTGCTAAGCAGAGGTAGTACACCAAAGCAATTCTGCCAACAGAACCAAAATTAAAACTTATTATCTCCTAAGTGTGACTGGAACTAACTGAAGATATTTTAGGTTTGTGTGAAAGCAGCAACCAACAAAAATGCAAATTATTTCTGTTGATTTCTACTGCACATCACCTAAGACGTCAGGGAAGGTTGGACATTCCTGTTAAAATGGGGTAGGAAAGTAGCTGAAGCTACGTAAACTTCTGCTAATAAGCTCCACAATAAACACCCAAATACGATGAAAAAGGATTTTTTTGTTCGGATACCAAAACAACACTTCACAGGCAGCACCGTGATGCAGTGCTAAGGAAGCTTTATTTGTGTTCCCTTACACCAGATCTCTTTACACGTCCTTGTTCCTGGGCCTTTGGTACAATGGGAAGAGAGAATTAAATGTCACTAAAATAAGGTGGTGTGGGAGACCTCTGGAAGGGAGGAAAATGCCATTAACTGAGTTGCATTCAATAACCCATGTGGTTAAAATACACACTTCTAGTCACCCACGTAAGAGCAGAAAATATGTGTGTTTGCAACAAAGGTCTCTGCATGAAGTTTAGCTTTACATGTTTTGCGTATATTGAAAACTAGGCAGCCTTTGTATTCTCTGATCACTCTGCCCTCTGGCCAAATCCTTAACCCTAAAATACGTGTGGCAAGCACTGCTCCAACCCTCATAAGAAAAATTTGCTAGTGGGGATGAATTTTATGAGAGTTTTATCAGCAAAAAAATCCTACCATTCAAATTTTGATTTTTAAGACCTTTGTTGTACCAATATGGTATGGAGGTCCTAAAGAACCGAGGAAATCTTACACTAAAGATCTGCCTTCAATTTAAATTAAATTGACGAAATAATTTTATCCAGCTTTTCAAAACCATCAACATAGTTTAGGTTACAGAGTGTGCACAGAGCATATTTATGCTCCGGCGTTACCAGTCATGGTGTTACTAACCCATCAGGAATAGGGGCAGGGTATGGCATTGCCATCCATTGGCAATGATACGTCACATCTGAGAGGATTTTCAGGAGCTGTACTGTGAAAGGAGCCACACGGTGCTGTACCCGCTGGTTCTGCAGCTAGTGGGGTTCTTTTGCAGAAAGAGCAAAACACAATCTGTACCGTAAATGATCCAGCGCTGACTGCAAATGTGGCTCTCTGCAGACATTACCCCTCTATGGTGGAAGCCTGACCGGGTTTGGTTAAACAAATCTATCTTGAGTGAGTCCTCAACAAAATACAGTCAGATGGTAAATACCAGACTTACACAATACACGCTCTTGAGGCGACAAAAGACCAGTTTGACCCTACGAGGCCGGGCTACCCACGGTCAGTCCCACGGGGCTCACAGACATAAATGAGGACACAGTCTGACCGAACGCAGTGAGCACTCTTCTCACTAATCAAGACTGAAGACTCATCTCCATGTCTCCAATTCAAATGAACGCTACACACCATGAGCTGGTGAACACCAGCCTTTCATGCCTCTAAGGGGAAGGAGAAGGCTGGGAGTGCAAAGCTCTCCTCCATGGCTGAACCCAGCATCGACTCTCTCCCATGTCGCTTCCTCACAGCAGCAATAGCCCTGCAGTGCCAGCCCTGATATCAGCTGTGTGCTGCCTTCATGGCCAACCGATGGATTGGGAAAGTATCTTTAAAAAATCAGGCTTTACCAAAAGGGAAGGGTGTAGTTATGTGGTTGAGACATTAAAAAAAATTGTTCTGTTCCTGGTGGATGAAAACCATTTTTGTTTCTCGATTTCTTCCTTTTTGCCTCTTTAAAAGGAAGTTCCTGGAGGCAGTTTGATTAGTGTCCGTAATAGTCCTAACAATCTCAGGGGAGGGCGTCAAGTCAGTGATGGCTGTTCTTCATAAGCAGTTGAATTATATTACTTATATATATACTATTATATATCCTGAAAACATCACATTTTCTACTTCTCTACAGTGTTTCCTTAACAATCAAGGAACTGTAAAATGCTTCTAGAAGAGTAATTGTCGGACTTAAAAGTGCCTGCTCCTAAAACTCCAGCTGAGATCAAACTCAAACTGTGATCTGATGATTCAGCTTTGTTACTTCTGCCCCTTAAAATACTATTTGGCTTTGCAAAGATACTGCAGTAAGAAATTAGGATCCTACCTTCTGGGTGAGACAGGAGGTAGAGAAGAATTCAACTCATTCTCAAGTCAGTATGTCATGTTTATAAGGTCTAGAAGTATAAGCAACTCCTCATTGGGAAAGAGAGAATATTTGAGGAAAAGGTAGAGAGATTTCAGTCACTGGTGCAGTTTTTTCTGCTTCAGTGACTCCTAGGTTTAAAGAAGAAAAGACTGACCCTAGGTTTAAATCACAGCAGTTTAAGGAATATTCTGATTTCTACTAGTTTATGGTCTTCTAGGGACCATTATGCATCTCCATACTCACATTAGGTCTGTCAAAACTCAGGCATGTGGTGTGAGGCTCATTAATTTGATGCACGCGGGCTGCCTGTATCACTGATCCCATCCTGGAGCAGGAGAAAGTCTGTGATGCTGAGTTGCCACTGCATTTGCCCCATCACCTAATGTCTACATAGTTCCACTACAGCCTCCTGCCATCCTGCAGTCCAGTGCACGTCACAGGAACATCAGTCTCAGGTCACGCAACGCCAGGAAATTCTGATGTGGTGATCAAAAGTGGCTGCAGGGTCTCTGCTGGTTTCCTTCATCCTTAAACCATCCCATGCAGTAAGTGCAGGCTGATGACAGATGCCGGTACATAAGCCTCATTTCACTTGGGCGTTCACTTATGTTAAAGGAATCGCTCCCATGGGAAAAAAGGCAATCTTCTGCAGGAAAATTGGCCAAGGAGATAGCTCAGAAAGCAAACATATTGAGTAAGAAACTAGGTTTTATGATGGATTCTTGGGAGGAGTTGGTTTCAGTTATTTGGCTGATTAAAATCAGACTCTGGAAAAATACTACAAGTGCCAAGTGAGTTCTCTTCAAATTTCAACTCTAAAATACCCAGTATGTCACCACACAGGATTCCTCCTTAAGGAATACCAAAAACTGGTAGTTCTGCCTTGTCCCTCTTCTTTGCCTTATTGAGAATGCTCACGCCAAAGGCTGCCTAATAACACTGCTAAAAGACACGAGCACTCAACTCAAAGCTTTGAGAGAACTTCAGCTTGAATAGTGACTAATCAAGCCTTTCCTGATCCAAAGAAAATGTGCTGACACTTCTCTCCCATAGCGTTCGGTCAAGATGTATCATCCCCAGTCACACTCCACCGAGAGCATCCAAGAGCAGGAGGAGGAGAGATCCAGGTTTCTCCTCATTCAACTCAACTGTGGCAGCTTTTCCTGCCACAGAGGAGTCTGGAGAGATGCTGGCGGTCAGGCTGGAGAGGATTGCTTGAGGACAGCCCAGAGCTGCTGGGGGAGAACGGGGAGCAGGCAGGAGGAATCCCATGTGGGAGATATTCAGGCAGTCCTTGCACACATGACCACAAGGCATCCCCAGGGACCACCACTCACCATATCATGGACAGAGACTTTGGACAATGCAGCAGCTTATTTTAATTCATGTGCAATAGCATAAACTCCGTTTCTAGTTGCCACTTACAGATGAGCTGGTTATATGTATATAATGATCTTACACACATATGCATGAAATATATCTATTTAATAAGCTCCAGAGTCATGGATAATAGTACTTATTGACTCACAGTGTTCCTTGGAAAAATTGAGAGGGAAAAACAAATTAAAGCATTTGCCCATCTATAAAATTAATGCACTATTTTACCTATTTCACAGCAGCATTACCAAGCTTAATGTCTCTAAGGATCAATAGCATCATTACTACACACGCTTTTCTGTGCTGTCTTTGGCATTTTGGCAAAATATTTTGTGAAGACGACTGTCAAAGTGCAGCTCGAATGACAATTTAAAAAAATATTAAAAAGGGAGAAAAGTTTAAAGAAAATTTTGTTTGGAAGACAAAACTTGGAAAAATTTGTTTGGAAAAAACCAATCAAGACAAAATTCCCTGTTAAAACCTATCAATATTTAGAAGTATAAAAAAATTCCTGTATCAGCATTTAATGCTTCGACTTATCTCTGAGAATATATTGTCACTCATACAAATACGGACACAGAGCCCACGTGAATCCTCAATAGGTGCAATCGTGCAACCAGTCGTTGTATGAATCATGTTCAGATGTTATGTAAATACATAAGAAACTTAATTTGTGACCTTGTGTTAATGGGAAACTGGGCACACAAAACATATTTACATAAAAGCGTAAGCCTGAATGTATGTGTCCATTTAAGACTGCCTGCATATTTTTCAGGTGAAGCATAAGTGCTTATATTTGAAAATTAGATTCAAAGCCTAACAC